ATTTTTTCTATGTATTTTTAGTTGTCCAATTAATTTCTTTCTATTTTTAGTAGAGGCAGGGTCTCGCTCTTGCTCAGGCTGGTTTCGAACTCCCGAGCTCAATCCGCCCACCTCGGGCTCCCAGAGAGCTAGGATTATAGCCGTGAGCCACCGCGCCCAGCCCTTCTTACTATATTTCTTTTAGAAAATATAACTTTTTTATTACACTTCAGTTTGAGCCAATGTAGTCATGTTTCATTTTTTAAATGTTATTTATTTTAATATGTGATGGGTTAGTTTGAAATGGATTAATATAAATACTTTTTAAATTCTCAATTTTAATTTCTGATATCATAAATATCAATAGATGTAACCCACATAAATGAGATGGATTCTGAGATTAAAAAATTTAAGAAATGCTGCCTTAAAAGGTTTCTTACTCTAATATAGAAGAAACCACTTTCATACAAGGCAAAATGCAATAAGTGACTTTTTTATTATTTGTGTGATTCAGTCCTTGTTATTCATTATTATTACTATATAGTGTTTTGTTGTAGGAATACACCACAATTTATACCTTTTGGCTCTTGGTGGACATTTGAGTCATTTGCAATTTGGGGCAGTGTCAGGGTCCCCAACGTCACCCTCATATTTGGAAATTTGCTAGAAGGATTCTTAGAAATTGGCAAACAGTTGTGTTCACAGGTGTAAGATTTATTACAAAGGCATAGTAAGGATATACAGCCAGATCATAAAGGAAAAAGAGACAGGTGAGGTCTGGAGGAAATGTAGTAATGAGGCACCTTTTCCCCTCCCATCAGAGGCCTAGTGGAAAACCTGAACTCCAACTCCCAACCAGCAGTCATGAACCCCTCCTCCCGTCTTTCCCTCCCTCCTCGTCAACACAGGTTGAGTGCAGAACTGAGATTAGACCTCACCTGACAATGTCAATGAGGCATTCTTCTATTCCATGATGATTAATTTTTAGTGTCAACCTGCTGAGATTAAGGAATACCTAGAGAACTGGGCAAGCACTACTTCTGGGTGTGTCGTGAGAGTGTTTCCAGAGGAGGTTGGTTGTGAGTCCATGGACTGAGTGGGGAAGGTCCGCCCTTATAATGTGGGCTGGCACCATCTAGTCACCTGAGAGCTTGGATAGAACAAAAAAGGGAGAGAAAAGGCGATTTTCTCTTTCTTCTATAGCTAATAGACATTCTTGCCTTACCCTTCGACATCAGAACTCCAGGTTCTCCAGCCTTTTTACATTGGGAATTAAACCAGCGGCCCCTGGGTTCTCAGTCCTTCTGCCTCGGACTGAGAATTACACCATCAGCTTTCTTGGTTCTGAGGCTTTTGAACTTGGACTCAGCCACACCATTGGCGTCCCAGGGTCTCCAGCTTGCAAGTGGCCTATCCTGGGACTTCTTAGCCTCCATAATGGTATGATCCAATTCTCCTAATAAACGCCCTCTCATAGATAGATAGATAGGTAGAGATATCCTATTGGTCTCTCTCTCTATAGAATCCTGACTAATGTACCTCCAGTGGTGCAATGTCAGAAGAGATCTCTTAAAACAAGTTCTAGAGTCTCCTAAAATAAGTTCTAGAGTCTTATAACACAGAACCCAAGATGTCCTGGATACGATAGAAAATCACTTGCCATAAAATTAACCAGGAACATTCTCAACTAGAATGAGAAAAGAAAACCAACAGACGCCAACTAGATGGATAGAGATGTTGGACTTACCTAACAGATTGTAAAGCAGTCATCATAAAAATGCTTCAGTGAGCAATTACAAACACATGATAAAATACAAAGGCTCAGCAAAGGAATAGAAGATATGAAAAAGAACCAAATGGAAATTTTACAGATGAAATATACAATAATGAGATTAAAATATCAATGATGAACTCAACAATAGAATGGAAAGGACAGAGGAAGGAACCAGTGACCTTGAAACTAGAACAATAAAAAAAAGATTACCCAAACTGAACATCAGAGAGAAAATAGACTGAAAAAAAAGAACCTCAGGGACTTGAGTAACTATAATAAAAGATCTGAGTCACTAGAGAGAAGAGAAAGAGTGTGGAGGTGAAGAAGCATTTTGAGAAATAATGGCTGAAGTTTTCCCAAATTTGACAAAAGTCTTAATTCTACAGGTTTCAGAAAAGCTGAGCAAACTTCAAAAAGGATAACTCCACCACAACCACCCCAAAAAAATTCACACCAAAAGTATATTCAGACTTCTGAAAACTAAGACAAATCTTGAAAGCAGCAGGAAACATCTTAACTATAAGGACAAAATTCCAGTTACAGTAGATTTCTGATTAATAACCATGGAAGCCAGAACAAAGTGGCAG